AGTGTTCTATAGTGTTCTATCCATTAGCTCTAACTTTTTAAAAATCTTCCATACTGATTTTTCTACCTGCTTGAGGTATTAAATACTGAAGTGGTATATTAAAATCTTTCAGTGCAATTGTGAATTTATCTGTATTTTTTATATGTCTGTCAGTTTTTGCTTTAATGTTTTCAGTTGAAGGCTAAGTTAATTAAGTTTAAACACATTTAAAATTGTTATATATTTGTGATAAATTGAGCTATTTTATATAATGCTTCTTTTTATTTCTTGTAATGCCTTTTTCCTTAAGATTATTTTATATGATTGTTAATATAGGTATTTCACCTTCTGTTGGTATTTGCTTGGTAAATCCTTTCCCATTCTTTTAACCTTTGTGTATTCTTGAGTTACAGATATATCCTTTTTAAACAAAAAATATATGGAATCTAATTTTTTATTCAGTGATAATCTTTGCCTTTTAGCCAGAATATTTGGTTCATTTCTGCTATTATAATTTTATTTATTTATACCATCTTATTATTTTCTCATTGTTTCTCCTTGGGGGGGGTTCTTTTCCTCTTTCTTGCTTTCCTTTGAGTTAAAAATTTTTGTTTGTTTTCCTCTCCATTTTTTTTCTCCATTAGATTGGAAGTGGTAACCCATTCTATATTCCTTGGCAATAATATTTTTTCTTTTCAAATTTTTATTTAAATTCCAGTTAGTTCACATAAATTAATTCCTCACTTATATATAACACCCAGTATCCATCATAACAAGAGCCCTCCTAATACCCATCACCCATCTAACCCATCCCCCACCCACCTCCCTACATCAACCCTCAGTTTTTTCTCTGTCTGTAAGAGTCTCTTATGGTTTGTTTCCCTCTCTCTTTTTTTCTTTTCTTCCCTTTCCTGTATATTCATCTGTTTTGTTTCTTAAATTCCACAAATGAGTGCAAACATATGGCATTATGGTAACATATCGTTTGTGAGTTCGAGCCCCACATCAGGCTTGCTACTGTCAGCACAGAGCCTGCTTCTGATCCTCTGTCTTTCTCTCTCTGCCCCTCCCCAGCTTGTTCTCTCTCTGTCTCTCAAAATAAATAAACTTATAAAAAATAAAAAAGAAAAAAGAAGAGTTAATACTTATTCTTCTCAAACTATTCCAAAAAATAGAAGAGGAAGGAAAACTTCTACATTCATTCTATGAGACCAGCATTACTAAAACCAGACAAAGACTTCACTAAAAAAGAGAACTACAGGCCAATATCCCTGATGAACATGGATGCAGAAATTCTCAATAAAATACTAGCAAACCGAATCTAACAGTACATTAAAAAAATCATTCACCACAATCAAGTGGGATTTATTCCTGGGCTGCAAGGGTGAGTCAATATTTGCATATAAATGTGATATTAATATTAATCATAGAAAGGATAAGAACCATTTGATCATTTCAATAGATGAAAAAAACATTTGACAAATTACAACATCCATTCATGATAAAAACTCAAAAAAGTAGGTTTAGAGGGAACATACCTCAACATAATGAAGGGCATATATGAAAAATCCACAGTTAATGTCATCCTCAGTGGGGAAAAACTGGGAGCTTTTCCGGTATGGTCAGGAACAAGACAGGGATATCCACTCTCATCACTTTTATTTAACGTAGTACTAGAAGTCCAAGCCATAGCAGTCAGACAACAAAAAGAAATAAAAGGCATCCAAACTGGCAAGGAAGAGGTAAAAAACTTTCCCTATTTGCAGACAACATGATACTCTATATAAAATACCTGAAATTTTCCACCAAAAAACTGCTAGAACTGATACACAAATTCAATAAAGTCCCAGGATGCAAAATCAACATAGAAATCTGTTGCATTTCTATACACCAGTAATGAAGCAGCAGAAAAAGAAATCAAGGAATCAATCCCATTTGCAATTGTACCAAAAACAGTAAGATAACTCGGAAGAAATCTAACCAAAGAGCTAAGACCTGTACTCTGAAAAGTATTAAACACTGATGAAAGAAGTTGAACATGACACGAAGAAATGGAAAAACATTGCATGTTCATGGATTGGAAGAACAAAGATTGTTAAAATGTCTATACCACTTGGGGTGCCTGGGTGGCTCAGTCAGTTGGGCACCTGACTTGGGCCCAGGTCATGGTCTCACGGTCCGTGAGTTCAAGCCCCGCTTTGGACTCTGTGCTGACAGCTCAGAGCCTGGAGCCTGTTTTGGATTCTGTGTCTCCCTCTCTTTCTGACCCTGCCCCATTCATGCTCTGTCTCAAAAATAAATAAACGTTAAAAAAAAAAAAAGTCTATACTACTTAAAGCAATCTACACATTTAATGCAACCCCTATCAAAATACCAACAGCATTTTTCACAGAGCTAGAACAAATAATCCTAAAATTTGTATGGAACCACAAAGCAACCTTAAAGAAGAAGAGCAAAGCTGGAGGCATCAGAATTCTGGACTTCAAGCTATAGTACAAAGTTGTAGTGATTAAAACAATATGGTACTGGAACAAAAATAGACACATAGATAAATAGAACAGAACAGAAAATCCGGAAGTTGACCCACAACTATACAGTCAATGAACATTTGACAAAACGTGAAAGAATATCCAATGGAAAAAAAAGTCTCTTCAACAAATAGTGTTGGGAAAACTGTTCAGTTGGGAAAACGAAACAATAACATGCAAAAGAACGAAATTAGACCACTTTCTCACATCATACACAAAAATATATTCAAAACAGATTAAAAACCTAAACGTCAGATTTGAAACCAGAAACTCCTTGAGAAGAAGAGAGGCAGTAACCTCTTTGACATCAACTGTAGCAACTTCTCACTAGATATGTCTCCAGGCAAGGGAAACAAAAAGCAAAAATAAACTATTGGAACTTCATCAAAATAAAATGCTTCTGCACAGCAAAGGAAACAGTCAACAAAACTAAAAGGCAGCTACAGAATGAGAGAAGATATTTGCAAATGACATATCGGATCAAGGGTTAGTATCCAAAATATACCAAAGTCTTATAAAAATCAACACCCGGAAAATGAATAACCCAGCTAAAAAATGGTCAGAAGACATGAACGGACATTTCTCCAAAAGACATACAGATGACCAACAAACATGTGAAAAGATGCTCAATATCACTTATCATCAGGGAAATGTAAATCAAAACTACAATGAGATATCACCTCACATCTATCACAATAGCTAAAATCAAAACCACAAGAAACAACAGGTGCTGGCAAGAATGTGGAGAAAGGGGAACCCCCTTGCACTGTTGGTGTGAATGCAAACTGGTGCCTCCACTCTGGAAAACAGTATGGAGTTTCCTCAAAAAGTTAAAAATATGACTTACACTAGGATCCAGCAATTGCACTAATAGGTATTTACCCCAAAAATACAAAAATACTAATTCAAAGAGATACATTCACCCTGATGTTTATACCATTATCTACAATAGCCAAACTATGGAAAGATCCCAGAGGTCTAATCTACTGATGAATGGATAAAGAGAAAGTGATGTGTATATATGTACATATATACATTGGAATATTAGCCATCAGAAAGAATGAAATCTTGCCATTTGCAAGGATATGAATGGAACTAAAGAGTATTCTGCTAAGTGAAATAATTAAAAAAAAATACCATATCCTATCACTTATATGTGGAATTTAAGAAACAAAACAAAGAGAAAAAAAAAGAGAGAGAGGAAGGCAAACCAAGAAACAGACTCTTAGAAAAACAGAAACTACAGAGAACAAACTAATGGTCACCAGAGGGGAGGTAGGTGG